GTAAAACGCCTTTTGCAGACAAAAAAAGAAAAAGGTATTGATACTGTAAGTCAGGGCATGCGTTTATCAGATAATTTTTTTTTAATCTAAGAGAAACAGTATACCAGCCAGAGGTCAATGTGGAATACAGGGAAGTGACCAGCCAGCACTCTACAGGCAACAGCATTTTTGAGTTCCTCCAGTGACTTACAATCCTCCGGTCTGATGTTCTGCACAGGACAGGCTCTAACACCACCTTCACCTCTTACTCCACCAAGCTGAGAGATCCATGGTTAGACCTGATGGTTATCTTTCAGACAGGGTGTCCAACCCACAGAGAATGAGTTCAAGTTACAGATGTAACCTACACATCCCTTGTAAGTCATTCTAAAGAGTATTCTCACTTTTAGAAAAACATGCATTAATTCTGAGATGTTTTTCTCAAGTTTTCCCCTCCCTGTGGCTCCAGGCCTTATCAAGCTGAAGCAGAGTAAAGCTGACAGGAATGCTCTTGGAGCTTTTGCCAGAAATTTGAATAGAAACAGAGAAACCAAGCAGAGCATGGGCAGTTTCCTTCTGTTGGTGTTTGCCAAAAGCTTTCAGTGGCAGCACAGACAAACAAAACGTGCCTGTAAAAGTCAAGAAAAATCACACTGATGGGTTTACATACACTTGGAAAGCTAACAACAATCAAAGAAAAAATCTTCATGGAATTTGAAGTTGTTGAAAACAGAATTGCTCTGAATCCTTTCTTTTTCAAGGGAAGTTTCTGGTATGCCAATTTACAAAAAGACTTTTTAAGTCCCGATTTTGGCTGGTAGAAAGCTTTAAATTGTTGTAGTAGTAACATCACATAGCACATGCGTGGCAGTACATGGTAGACAAAGCTATCCAGAATGCCTGTTCTGAAAATCACTGAACCTAAAGGACAAGAATCAACAGCATAAAGATCAAATAGGATTGACGAGATAGCATGAATATATAGAATAGCTCTAAGTGATTTATCTTTTCTAATGGCTGGAAGGGACAGAACACAAAGTGATGTACCAGAAATGGACACAAGAGTCCATAAGAAAAGGCCAAGGTAAAAAAAAGAGAAAAGGGGAAGCATAAGAAAAAATTAATAAAATAGATAGGACAGGCTCAAAAGTAAATTGAATCAGATGACAAAGATTTGAAGCTAGAACTTGCCTGAGGAAGTGGAAATTCAAAACAAGACAGATGTGTTCTGAATAGCTCACTGGGGATGAAGTGAGAAGCTGAACACTCAGAAGAAAAGGCAGCAGCTCTACAAGTCAACACATAAGACCGAGGCAAAAAAAACCAAACAACTAGTCAAATTTCTAATGTCAGTAACAGGGCCTAAACGATACCAATGCTCAGATGCACACAGACTGCCTGAACACGATACAAGGTGCCTTGTGACAGGTACAAATAAACAGCCTCTGGACATGGTACGTGTAATTCTGTTAGGAAGTACACAAATGACACGTGAGAGGCTGCCAGTGGGGTTAAAATTAAATTCAAGGTGTTGTCTTCCCTTCTGTAAAGCTGATAGTGCCACCTTTCCATCTGTTCTTCCCAAATTAAACGTCATATCAGCACGCAGAACAAGAAAGGGATCCAGATACACAGCATGTTACTATTACTGTGTGTCTTCAGGACCAGTAAGATAGCTACAGCCAAAATCATTCACCACACCAAGAGCAAACTGTGGGAGGGCAAAGAGGAGACAAGTAATTAGCTGCTATGACTTCCAATAACAACAAAAGACTCCAATGATTACAACTGCAACTAAGAACATCTCAACAGCATCATCTTCTTCATTCATGTTACCCACTTACCTTCCACCTTTTTTTTTTCCCCCCCAGTTATTCACATCTTATCTAACGGAATGTTATGGTGAGGACACTTAATGCATAGATGTATGTAAGAGAGACCAACTGTGATTAAAACATACTGTTAACATCAAGATTTTTCTACAGTAGCAGAAGTGAAAGAAACGCAAGACTGGATAAAAATTGTATTGCAAAGGTAGAAGAGAAGAGAGGAAAAACTACTTCGTCTAGCCTTGTATTTTCTTTCTGACATCAAATTCACCTGCTGCGCTGGGTTTGCATCCTGATATAGTTTGGTATTTAGAACACCTAAGGAAATCCAGTGCTGAGTAACAGTGTGATGCACTGCAGGATTTCGTTTCTGTCACTTCTTCATTTCAACCTCACTCTCCCTTTTGTGGTTTCTAGTCACATATTTTCTTTCAAATTGACCTTGAATTGGACGGTCAACTCCAACGCTACACTAGATTTACAAATATCATTAGGGTATGAGAACAGGAGACATCAGAGAGACCTTTTCCAAAGAGATCCAATTAATCGTGCTAAAGAACACATGGCTGTAAACATAATTTCCAGTTTTGTGAACATCCCATACATTAATCGACCCAGGCCCATAGGTATAGAGAAGACAGCTCCCTCTGCTGGGTGAGACAATGCAGCTCCTCCTGGCCTTCGCACCACACTCCACAGAACACACTTGGGCATATGTCATTCTTCAATTATTTTTTTTTTCAAGATGGTACTGGGTCGTTCAGATTACTCTGCAATTTCACGAACGGGGCCTTCAGAAACCAAATTTCTGTAGTTTCTACATTTAAAAGCACAGAGAATAAAATTCTTCCCATAGGTCTATCTAAGAACCTGATGAAGTAACGTCCCATCTCTAGGTGAAACACTTGAAAACCCAGGGTCCTTTATGCCAGTGTCCAGGTCTGTGAATAGACAAGAGTTCAGCAGCGCTATTCACAGCATGTACTTAACATCTGTCTTTTCTTACTGCTACTCAATTAAATTCCTTCTTGTACATCCCTGCCTCGAGAGACAGCCATTACGTTGTTCAAGGGAATGGCTGCAGCTTTCCACCTGCATGAGGCCTCAGCACAGCAGCAGCTCGTGCAACTGTGAGCACACAGAACAGTGATGAAATATCAGAGCGCAGGCAGGCAGCAGCAGAAGGGAAAGGCAACAATCAATGTCGGAGTCCCCAACACAAGAAGAACATGGAGCTGCTGGAGTGAGTCCAGAGGAGGCCACAAAGATAATTCGAGGGCTGGAGCACCTCTGCTATGAAGACAGGCTGAGAGAGTTGGGGCTGTTCAGCCTGGAGAAGAGAAGGCTCCGGGGTGATCTTATAGCAGCCTTCCAGTACCTAAAGGGGCCTACAGGAAAGCTGGAGAGGGACTTTTTACAAGGGCATGTAGTGATAGGACAAGGGGCAATGGATTTAAACTGAAAGAGGGCAGATTTCGATTAGATATAAGGAAGAAATTTTTCACTCTGAGGGTGGTGAGGCACTGGAATAGGTTTACCAGAGAAGTTGTGGCTGCCCCATCCCTGGAGGTGTTCAAGGCCAGGTTGGATGAAGCTTTGGGCAACCTGCTGTAGTAGAGGGTGTCCCTGCCCATGGCAGGGGTGTTGGAACTAGATGATCTTTGAGGTCCCTTCCAACTCAAACCATTCTATGATTCTATTTCAAGCGCTTATATTAGGATCTTCTAGGAAAACTACAATCTTTTTCCTTTCTCAGTCATCCTATCTGAAACCCAACGCTAGAAGTAACACTTTTCATTCACACAGCCTTAGTGTTTTTCCTTCTGTAGATCTCAAAACACTCACAAAGTGGCCAAGAACTGTCAGCTCAAGCTGTAACAACTCAGCCCACACCAACCCCTGCACTTCAAAGGCACTGCCAGGTCAATAGGCAAACCATAAATCTGGGACCTCTTCAACCAGAAAGTTCTCAGCTTTGCTACAGGTTTCCACAGCAAACTTTTGCATAATAAAAGCACGCTGTGTCCAAGCTGTTCACCTCTAAAAGCAGAAGTTACTGACACTGCTTCTTTGGAGGTAACAGTAAAAATTGACACTGAGGAGAAATCTGTGGTCCCTGGAGATCCGTCTGAGCTCTTCATTTAAGAACAACCTGGGCATGTCATGCTTAGAGCTAGCAGGTACCCACTGGTCATACAGCCGAGCGACTCCTCCAATACCACGTGTGCTTCTTCTTTTCTTTTCACTTTTCAAAAGATCCCTTTGTGAGCTGAAGAAGCAGCAAAACTCTAGTTTTTTCATCACCTTGACTTTCACCATCTGACAATTTCTTTGTTATACAACTCCTGCCCTTGAACTTCCTGCAACTACCAGATAATACTCGTTCAACCTTTGACAGCATCATGAGTTTTTGAAGGTTTTTTGGGTTGTGATGTTTAATGGCAGGAAAACGGATGGAGAAAAATCATATAATACTTTTAAAAAATAGAGAGATCACATTCTCAAAGTAATATTTATACCATTTAAAAATCTACATTTAAAACTACCTCAGTGGTGAACTTGCTGCTCTGATCAAAAATGTCTTTCCAAATTAACTGGAGTAACACCAACCAAAGCACATCTATACCTATGTGCCCTGAAAACCTACCCTTCTAACTATTGATTATTTTCTCTCAGCAGACACATTTGCACCTTCCAAAAACACCAATAATCATATCATCTGATGAAAAAATAAGCACTTCCATTTATTTCAAAATTATTCATAAATGGAGCAAAGCACAGAGCTGAAAAAGCCTCCTTTTGTCAGCTGGTAACCTGTAAGAAAACCTCTGCTGAAGTTGAGAGACGGATGTCGAAGAAATTTCACAGTCCGAGCACGCAACGTTCACTCACTCCCTGACACTCTGGCACATTTCCCACATCAGTTTGACCGTGGGTTCCCTGAGGCAGAGCCTCTGATTATAAAGCACATCAGGCTAATTTATTGATGGTACAGCTGCAGGTTTACAGCTCGAGGTGGGTACCTCTGGGCAGGGACCCCGAACAAAGAAATCCCTGGGCAATTATACCCTTGCAATCTAAGGCACCCTGCCATCATGCAACACGTCCATCTGATAGTAATATTTGGGTCTGGGGTCTTCCTGTTTCTCATCAGATCATAGGATAATAGAACGCTTTGGATCCTTTCCCCACCTCCAGACGGGCCGTTCCTTTTCTTATATTGACGGTTGCAGCTTCTGCTGATGGACACAGCTACCTTGTCTTCCAATTTTGCACCAGTTTCGGGGCCTTCCTTCGTGTAGCTGAGTAAAAGTTCAGCATGAGTTCAGCACATCATGTTGAAAGTTCACAGCTTGCAGCCTAAGGCTTCAGCAATCTTGGTACCAACGCTAAGCAACAGATTCCATTTGAGCTAGGAAATGACTACTACAACACAGATGCTGTGGTAAAACATCAAAGAGCACTCCAGATCCAACTTATGGACAGGCTTTTCACAAGCACACTTAATTCACAAATTGCAGCAGAACAACTACAGCCATGAAGAGATTCTGGAAATCTCCTCACCATCACTGAGAAGGAAGGGCAAAAGCAATAACCTTCTCTCTTAACCCCTTCATTCTACAACGATCGCTCAGAGTTTGCATTTGAGTTGTTAACTAGGGAAGGACGACACAAAGCAGAAGAGAACACAGGACATCTAAACCACGCCTGTCTCTTGAGCGACAAGGACAAAAAGCAGACAGAAACAGGATGTCTTTTAACAACAGATTGCCAATTTAAGCACAGCTTGGCCTAGACTAGCACGGAGGCTGCCTCCATGCTCCACCTGCTCCATGGACTAACAGACTTAGGCTCTGCAGGCCATTTAATTCACAAAATTTCATCAACACGGCTGCAGTTCAGGAGCAACTCAGGTCAACCCTGACTGCAATTCACATGGCTTTCAGCTATCCTTTAGCAGTTCCAATGAGTTGTAGAGCTTTATGTATAGCCCTGATAAGGGCTAAAGACATCCTTGGAAAAGGACAGCTCTTCACTGTTCCATAAACCTTGCTCCTCTCCATGCCTTGTCCTCATGTGCTCCCTCTGTGAGACCCAAAAGTGTCTCAGTTCTTTTCTAATACGGAACTCAAAGGAGCAGGAAACTTAAAACAATCGACTGAAATACAAAGCAGCCATTCTCACTAAAATACACAAAGTTGCCCATTTATTTACCTGGAATGGAAACCAGCAGCTATCTTATGGTTTGAAGAGAGTACAGATCTTCTTAAACGGTAACTGGAAAGCCCTATCCAAACTGGCATTCCATGTAAAAGCTCCTGAGAAACAACGGTTATCATCACGCACTATCTAGATGAAGCTATCACTGGCTTAAAAGTTATATAAGGAGAAACAGAATATACATAAATTCTAGACAGGTATTGAAAGTAGGTGAAGGTAAACTAGCTACCTTGTTATTTGCATTAATACTAACATAAACCAACTGCAGGGAAAATCTTTCCTTCCATCAGCAAAACACTCCATGTGCCATAGAACGTTCTTGCATTGTGGTGACAGCAGACAAACCCTTGGTTGACTTCATCAGCTCCTGCAGCACAGGCCTTGCTGTCAAAGTCAAATCCCAGCACTATTGTCTTCTGCACCTCCTTGACAGCCAGTTCTTTGCTCTGGGAACTCACCGCCCACGCGGGCAGGGAGAATTCACCTGCAAAGTGTTACAGGTCCCCTTGGGATGAGTGTCTCGCGCTCCTCACTCTTTGTTCCCTGCACACAGGTTCTCTACTCTCTCCTTACAGAAGCCAACTGCAAAAGCACCACTCCCCTTCGACCTGACACCCACGACTGTAGCAGCCACAGATGGTCATTACTGTGGAGATCATACTAGTTTCTATACTCAGTGGTGAGTAACAGAAAATCTGTTCTCACGCTGCTGGTTTTGGTGCTCTATGAGGGAGCAACTTCTACTTGGAGAGCTGCATCGAATTACAGCAACGACTGTTACTTGATTTAGTGGATTCTGCTTCTCTAGTAACAAATATCGTTTTCATGGTTGTTCAAGTAAAAAGTCTCACAGCTCTTGATCTTTGGAGGCAGGAAAGAGGGAAAATGATAGGCTGAACATTTTGCTGGGTGTTTGCCCTTCTCCAAAGCAGATCAGACATCAGTAACCCCAGATTCAAAGTTTCAATACCACTAAACAGTGAATTTTTACAGCTTCTCGTTATGATGATCGACGCAAAGCACCACATTTCAATGTTTCCAAGAGCTCTCCCAACTTTGGCTTTTATTTTTGTGGAAAAGTAAGATCAAGACAAAGAATTCAAAAGGAAAAAATAAAAAGTAAAGAAACTGATTCAGAAGATGGAAGCCTAACATCCCACCCCTGCTCCCTGCCTTCCTCCAAAATAATCCCAGATTAGACTAGCAAAATAGGATCTCATGAGGTGCAGGTGTTCTTCCTTTTCTTCCCTGGCACTGAAGCACAAATTATTTGGACTGCCCCTGTAGACAATGACACCCAGCAAAGACTCTTATTTCATATGCATGAGACAGATGATACGCACCTCCACTGAGACTGAGACACACACTTTAAAAAGAATCTTGTTTACTCCCAACCACAGACAAGTCTAATTCATTTCTTTTCACTTTTGTGAGACTGCTTTACCCTGGGGGAAACAAGGTCGTGCAGTATAATGAACCGGCTAGAAGAAAATTAAACAGCAGCAACTCATTCCTTGCACGACCATCTCTAAATTAAAAAATTTTTGCATACCAAAGGCAACTATACATATGCCCTCTCTGCAACCAACCAGTAAGTCAGTGCCCTCTAGCTCCGGCGCAACTCAAGAGAGTTTTCCTAAGACTGTTTCCTTGAAGTCCAGCACCTACAGGCAAAGGAGAGAGCAAGAGCATTTTGTTACCTGTACTCTTACCTGTCCTGGGGTCAAACAGCTGGTTGGCCTCCAAGTCTGTGAAAGTGCTGAAGCAAATGGGGCACTTAAAGGAGGCGCGGTTGGTGGAGTCTCTTTCGTCAGTCTCGATCCTCCTCCTCATGTGGTCCAGCTTGTACTTCACCACGTTAACCAGAAGGCGGTAGTTGATGAAGTAGTAGTTGTGACGGGTGGTTTTGCCATCTGGAGCCGTCTCGACCCTCATCCTGCATTTGATGAACTTGTCACCCTTGAGGGTGTTGAGGACTGCGCGCAACTGCTTCCTATCAAACTTCAGGAGCTCTAACATGTCCTCTTCCTTCACGCAGGGGTTCCTGATGAGAATGTCCAGAGCCAAAGCATGTTCAATGCCATAAAAGCCACGCACCACGTATTTGGCAAGGCGTTTGAGAGCTGCTGGGACCTCAGTGAGGACGTCTGGGTCAGTCATAGCAGGTTCAGATCTTGAGCTTCATGTACACTGCAATGAAAAAAGGCAGATGGATTCTTAGCTAGCCTTCTGACTTCACGAGTTCTGATTTGTCTCACTTAGAGCTAAGAAAAGGATAAACTGTTTTCCATTTCTCTTTCCCAAGCCCCATACTGTCTCCTTAGGTGTTAATAATGCCAGTGCTACACAAGTAGAATTAGGAAATGGTACCTCTCATTCAAAACAAAATGATGGAAAAATTTAAAAATCGCACAAGAAATTGGTACCACAGCATATGGCAGACTTCAGTTCTGCTCAGTCACAGTCAAGAGACTGGGAATAAGAAAGCTGTCTTGAAGTTGAGCTCCAGTAGAGAGCTTCACGATCAGCTGAGACTTGTAGCTTGGGAGAAGCACAAAAAAGGTACAGCAAGAAAGACGACAGTCCAAGAGCAGAGTAGTCTTATGGCCTCAGTTGGTATCACTTGATCACACTGACAGTAGCCCTGCCTGCTTCTGTTCCTCAGACATCACTGGGCAAAGATACTACGTGAGGTCAGCTTGCCAGTGCAGACTGGTATGCAGTCAGGCAAAAGCTCCCAGCTGCACAACAAGAACAGAAACGCTTTTTCCTTACTTTCTGATAAACAGAACTTAGTCAGCCGCCTGCAGCATGAAAACTGTTACCACTACCGACTCCTACATCACAGACTGCTCCAGCCTTGATCTCAGATGAGCAAACAGGTCCTTCTTAAGGACTGATCCTTCATTTAGAGCGTCTCACATTCAGGCCTTAGAAGCCAACGGATAACATAGCACGATAAATGAAGTAAAAATCAAGTCTTAGTGAGCATGAAGAGATGATGCGTATAAAAAGAAAAAAGTATTCCATGAAGTACCCTTTGAGTTACTTATCGTGACTTACTGTGCTGTGACAATAATTTCCAAAGAAATACTGTATTTTTGCTTCATTTCTCTTTACCGTAACATCAAACGGCACAAACAGGTCAATTACATGCTTCTGACATAATCAAGATCATAGATAGGATCATATCAGGCAAGGAATTCCTCATATTGTCACCCCTGCCACAAAACATAGCCAAAAATCAACCCCTCAGCAGACAACTAACAGCATTGACTCTTCTGAAGCAGCCAGTGCTGGCCAGTGGAGAGAAAATGGGAAGCGACTCCATAAGGCACAGAGCAAAGGCTTACTGTCATTTCCCAGGGTCATTTTGCACATTTTCCCGATTTTCCCTCCACTCCTTCAAGTCTGTACATCTGTAAGCAATAACAAAATTCCCCTCCACTTATAAGACACTTGGATTTCCATGTATGAAAGGTTCAAGACCAACATGAAGTATTGTAGGTGCTTTTGAAATACCCATCCAGGGGGCTGTACTTTCAGTTAACTTCAAATAAAACTCTGAAGTTTTTTTTCCAATATGAGACTTCTACGCTAGTTTAGGATGTGAATAACCGTTTCTTAAGCAGAAGGTTCCTTCAACTGAAGAAAAACCCCACACCTTCATTTCTGTTAGTCATTGCTAGAGCAATTTTTACCTGTGAACTAATATAACACATGGTAAAACTCTGCCTGTCTCAATTTTCACTCCCATTAAATGTTTCACACACTGTGTATGTCCCTCTCCAGCACTCAAATCTCAAATAAAGGAAAGAGGAGAGTGACAGCAGAAGAAAGGACCTGGATGGGTATCCTATTTTCTTTACCACTATCATAAAACCTGTAATATTCTTTTTGACAAGCACCATTACAGAACTCTTCCATACTCCCCACACTATGACATTCCCCTGAAATCACTAAGCTCGACGTGTAACCAAGCAGCTGATGATTCATTTCCATCAGCGAAGACTACTCAAAAATCTGTGATCATTTATCACAGTGGCCTGCTTGGATTTTTTTTTTTTTTCCTTTTTTTCCACATGAGAAACACTGCCCTCTCAAAAAACTTTAGGCAACACCACCCATTGAAGTTTCACTTCTCTTATGCAACCGAGGAGGTATGCTACTCTCAAGGGTTACGGCCAGTGCAACTGCAAAGCAATTAGGTTGTGGATTGTGGAGCTTAATAGTAAGTAATAAGATTGTCCTATCTTTTCGGCCTTTTCTGCCTTTGTTCTTTTCTTTTAAAATGCTTCCCTGCTTGAGCTTCTCTTTTTCTCTAACTTGGGGCCAAATGGTATTCACAGTGCTCAAATTGAAATGAACTGAACATTTGTTGACTGCTCATGTGCAGGCTGAGAACACCTTACAGAAAACAATGCCTGGATGTCCAACTCCAGCTTCCCATCAAGGAAATGTAATTAAAATATGTTTCTCAGGGCATGAAATAGCCATGAAAGTAATTGTAGAACTAGTTAGCCTTCTTTTGCATGCTAGATACATAATGATTTATTCTCACGCAAAGGATAGTTTTATAGAGTTTTGCATTAAAGGTAAAAGTGTCAGCAATAAAGGATGCTCCATCATGAGTCAGCCACACAGTGCTTTTTAATTCTCTGTAATTCTAATAATCTGAATCCCGTCACAGGACACTGTTCCTGAAAATCAATTTCATTTTGTTGTTTGTTTTTTTTTTTTTTTTCAGTCTTTCAGTCACTTAAACATAAATCTTGCTTTTGACTGAATCTGTCAGCAACGTACTGACACTATAAAACAATGTTAATGCAGAACGTGGCCAGGAGCGTGTGTTTATTCAAACTGATTAACTCCTATTCAGAGTTTAAGCACAGTGTAACATTAATGTAAAGATCAATTGTAAATAAAACCTGGCACCCCAGAAGAGATTTAAAAAGTCAGATTTTGAAAGTCAAAAGATTTCAGTGCTGATCTCAAAAACAAATCTTCTCTCCTCACCAATTCAGTCCCCTAAAAATTCCTTGCAGAAAAACTTGGTGACGCAACTTGCAGTGGGCACAGCTGTAACCAAAAGAGGAGAAAAGTGTTTTTAAATAAGCACACCTCACTCTGGACATCTCATCTGAGAGCTGATGGAAAGCATTTTCTCTGCAAGAATTTCATTGAGAATACAGCTGCATGTTTCCACAGCTGCTTTTAAAACAGATTTAAGGTACAATTCCCTGAATAATGCACTCAAACAGCTTAAACTGAGACCTACAATGGACCAATAAATAAAATCACCTCTAAGACTATATACTTTTCCCTTGGTTTTCAGCAATAGTTAGAGATTTAGTAATATTTCTTAGTGTCAGTCACTCGAAAATAATTTTTTTCATCTAGTGGCACCAGTTGTTTTTACACAATTATTTCTTCTTCTCTACTGGGGATTTTTAGTGATGTTGAAATCTTCTATATCCTCAGGTAATGGTGGGCACCTTGAGCGTAACATTGATTGTCTTCCAGATGTGGATACCTGGAAATACAAGCATTTTGAAAATACTACAAACCATTCTTTCCCATTAAACTCCACTTCAAAACGTTGACTAACACAGACTAAATTCTAAATCCTGCAGAAGACAGCCTTTGGGTGAGACAGCCAATTGACTAGTGTCAGACTGGAAAAAAAAAAAACCAAACCACCACCCAAAACAAAAAACGAAAAAGAGAAAGAAAGCAAGCCACCAAAGAACATGCTGGTCAAGTTTTCCTACATGAAGGTCAACAATGCTGAACACAACTACCTTAGCTCTGAAAAGGAGCATGGGCACAGCTCACAAACAGAAATCCAGTGCCACAGGAGCACCAGTTTAAAATTCTAAAGCAAGGGACTTCATCATTGCATCCTTGAGCTGGGAATTCACCTTCCACCAACGCAGTAAGTCAAACCTGAATTAATTATGTGTGCAAAGAAATATGATAACATCTCCTAACAAGGTTCTAATGGATGTGCATCTGCTTCATAATAATATCTGTACCAACCTTAATAACGTACGAATGTCAAGGGACATTGTCAGGGAAAAAAAAACAAAAGAAAAATAATGGCCAAGATAAACCACTATGCAGCTGGCATCAATAACAAAGCACACTGAACAGGATGATATTCAGAAACACCCAAACGAAAAATTTCAAAATTTAAACATGGACTTGATTAGGAGAGACAACTGTTGGTGAATTGTTCTGGGCAATTACGTGAACCCAGTTCAGCATCATGGGGTTAGGGTTGCTGTCTTACATTATCACAGGAGGACAGCAACTCTAAGTAGACAATTGGGGTTTTTTTAAAAAATATCTCTAAACTTCAGGATAAACAGACATGACTATAAAAGGCAACACTGGGAAAAAAAAAAACTAAAGTCACAATATACAACCAGCTTTGTTGGGTTAAGAAAAATCAGGGTACAGTCTGCCAAACAGAGATCATACCTCGGATTGAGGAAAACGCATGAGGCACAGGTCTTGAGCACAACTAGAGATATCAGAAAGGAAATGGATAAGAGAGCAAGTGACCACAAAAATACATTCAGCATGATGGGGCCAAAGACCCTACAGAAGCCAGACATTCAACTGAGCAAACATTTCCACTGGTCAGGACTTTCCTGATACAACGTCAAAGTAACTGAATTCTTCTTCTCTATGTACAGAGATTTCAAGAATTCTTTTGTGAACTCTAACAGGAATTGTGCTAAGGGTGTTGGATCTGTTGTTCTTCCTCCTTTCCCTGACTAAAGCTGAGACAAAAGATGAGAAGCACTAAAAAAGTGATACCTATAAGCCACAATGCAGATAAAATTAGAATTGTGTAAGTTATGAAAATTGTAAGTCAGGCAGCAAATTTTTATCCAATATGGTAACTGAACATCACCTTGGTTTAACTTGTAACTTTGAGGCTTATATTGATTCCACTAGTAACTTTACCTCAAAAAATTCAATTAAGTCTCACTGTTCATATATTTGACAAGGTAAACATTTTTGAAAGTGGGATATTGGAAAAGGAATCAGACTACTCTTCAGACTCACTTGTGCATGCAAACCCTTTATGACACCCCAGATCTCTTTTGGAAGAAAACTGTGAGTTGCAGGGCTGGCGGGGAACCTAGGTCTATCAGACATACTGTTAACACTTGGAAA